CTAACGTCTTTATAAACAACTCAGTAGAATTCCAAGCAAGATATGATGTCAATATGAGATAATTATTACGCATTACATTATAATGTTATGTCCAATGACCATATTACATTGAATTACCTACAATATTTGTGAGTTTAAGACTCATCAGCATATATACACAGAAAGCTCACGACATGGCGTGATCAACAATTTAAATATCCCAAAACTGAAAGTTTTTCTCTACAAAAATGAACAATACATTCACGTGTTAAACACTAAAAAGTTCAACTTCAATATACTTATGCAAATATCAGTTATGTCATTAATGATTCTTTAAGTATTCTATATTATATGAAATTTCTACTATTCTTTCCAAAGCTACTCCTCGGAGGTCTTCAGAATGTTTGTTTCCAATAGAAGGAATTGTTCAAAATGCTAGATATGTTAACTTCACAATATATATGTTGATGAAACTCAGGAACCAACAATTTAGAGCCCAATCCCCAAGATGTCTATCTACCTATTGAACCCATTGCCCAAGATGTCTAGCTACCTGCATTTAATTGTGTATAAAAGCAGAAGGATCAGATTTTAGTCGTAATTTTCGTGCGATTTGTTACCTTAAATATGGCATATGATGGATTGCCCCACTAATCGTTTCAAAATTATGTAAGGGTAGATATGTAATAGATAAACAATTGGTGCAACAATTAAGGAAGGACAACGCACATTTCATGAAATAGTCTTGCGAAAATACCGGGAAGAAGCAAGTGACGTTTTTTATGCTTGTGAATACTTCGTAATAGTGTGCAGCTTCACCTAGAGTGCAAAAATTTCAATAAAATTGTTTTTTTACTGAGATGTTTGAGCTCTTAAAAGTCTTACTGAGTTATTACTACTTTTTTAAATGCGTTTTGGTGAAATACCCTTACGTCAAAAATTGCATCTTCCTGCCTACTCCAAAAAACTTTAGCATGAATATATAGCCTTGCTTGTTTTGGTCTGTTAGCTGTTTTTGGTAGTATTACTTCCTTAAAAGTGGTTATAATTTTGGTTCTTTTTCAACAGACGCGAAAACTTCTGCCAACCACCGATTTGTTACATATCTCTTAATTAGGTGTGTCTCAATATCGGTAAACCACCATGATGACATGTCAATGCATGATCGGTTACAAAAACCTTTCCACAAATGCAGTTCTGAGAAGTGCCTTTTCTCTTGCCGTTCGTATTGTAAACTTAATGCATTCCGAAGTTCCCCTTTATTCAAATTTTCATCTTGTAGTGGAAGTGCACTTCACCATGACTTCCCTTTTTCACATTGTAGATCCAGCTTTCTTTGCATTGTTGGTGTTAAACTGTCTTTTATTTCTTGAAAAATATCAACAATTTTCTGCTTCCTTTTCACTCGTAAACTCAATTTGATTGTATTTAAATGCGTTTTACTAAATGTCTCTCGACAATCATCTCTTTGAGGTGTTTGCTGATCTATTTGGATGAAATATATTTTTAATGTTTAAACCTCTATATTGTATAGGCATTGAATTAAAAGGAGTCTTCGTTCTTCTTTATTACATTGATGTTGAATGAAGGTATAAATGTTTGAGTAATCTCACCTCTTGAAGGAGAACTCCATTCAAAAATCCACATTGCTTCATATAAAAGATATAACTATTGCTAATTAATTAGTAAAATATTTCTGCTGAAATATTATTAACAAAAGAGGAACAGCTTATGAAAATTGGCATTTTTAAGCAATTTGACGCCATATTGATACAGACGCAATTTTGTCAGCGGCTTCAATTTTTGACGTTATTGCGTGCTTCGAACACTGATCTCGAAAAAAAGACTGGATCAAGCAACTCTATATTTGTGATAAACAAATTTCCAAGCCAACGTCGCCATTACCAGTGGCGTAGCAGAACCTTTAATTCGTGGGGACACAAGTTAAATATGCATGTCTTGATCCGTTGAAAACAATGATTTCAAAGAAATATAATGCAGCAGAGCATGAATATATGGTTCTGCTACGCCACTGGCCATTTATAAGGGACCAACACATGGAAAAATTAACTTGATTCAACAAACAAAGCTATGAAAAAATTAGCAAGATAATTATTTAAAATGATACAGAAGGGGAATAATAACCTTTGAGGCGATAGTAAAAAGAGTCAGAAAGAATAATCGGCTTTATAACAACAGTTGGCAAACAGGTTTCACTTCGAATCACTCATAAAAAAGGCTTGTAACTTTAAAGGATTGATCTGTTTGTGATCGTAAATGAAAATATTTGATCAGTTAGTATTTCTAAACTACAATTTTCACGATTCTAAGGATTTCCATGCAGCTCTATGCTATTTTTCAAAGTTTTTCATATCATAGTAGAGTTACCGATAGTAAGTCATTATTACATATGTGTGATAAAAAAATGGATAAAATATGTATCAAAATTTCATAAGTTCTGGCATTGTCCATTCTTTGTTTCTACAGCAAAAAATTTCAAATGTTTGACCTGAAACGAAGCTTGCTTTCTTTCACGTCCTTGCTGTTTTTTACGGGTTGGCTTTCACTTTTCTAGTTTTCATCCATAAAAAAATAAACCGTTTCAAATTGTAGCGTCTGGATAGTTAAACTATTTTCCATGTGTTTTTCCTTGAAGATGGAAAGATATGGAACATCTGGTACAGTGCAGGACAAAGATTAGAGAGTACAACTATGGGAGAGGTGCTTCTTCTCATAAATGACACTGACTTTTAAAACTAATGTACTGTAGCTATGGTAGTTGCAAAGATGTTAGTGCTGTGTTAGAATAGTGTCCTTCTTTGTAACGCTATTGACTGCAGTATATAGTGCTTAGAAAATTAGGTAGGATTGAATCAAGAGCCTGTAGAAAGATAAAACCTATTCTTTGCTTTAGGATCACATTTAATGTTCAACGTCAATGTCTATGGTCTACGATCTGTCTTACAATGGTTAAACTACTTCTATTTATACAAGATATTATGTATGGATGTATTTGTTTCTTTACTAAATGTGGTTACTTTACCATAGACGAAAAACTATAAGGAACTATAAAAAATATTGTGATTATTGCACATAAGTATCTCTTAAAATAATCATTTAGTTCGTTACACTTGACTTAATTATTTACTAACTACAGGAAGAATATTAAAGCATGTCTTAGAAAAATTTACTATAGTTCAGAGTTAACTGCCTCGTATAGGTTAACTGTTGTCTGTACATTTATATAGATTCACGTCATGACGTCATTTGTAATAAGAACTAATAGTAGGGACACAAGACGCCGATGCAAGTGATCACTTGTCTTACTCGTACATCTATCACCAGGGCTTAACTGTTGGGGAGTGTGGGGGGATGTGACACCCCAATTGTTGAAATCAGTGTTTTGCAGGGCATATTGCCGTCAGGTGGCAGGGCAGTGCTCAGGAAGTAGAAATATTGCCATACCATCGAAAACAACTAAATGATTACTAAGTGGAAATAACGAACCTTCATTTTTGACAATTTTGGCTTAATTCTGCAGTGCAATGTGTCTCTGAGATGTGTAAGATGAAGTAATTATAACACAGATACAGATTCCGCTGGATACAATGATTGCAAATGTAAAAAAACATGCTAATGCATTTTAGCATTCATAATTTCGTAAAAGCACTATTGCCAATACACATTTAATATAAACGACAACTTTTTTGAAAATAGACATGTTTCGACATCTCATGATGCCATCTTCAGTATGAGTGAAATAATAGGTGATACAGGGTTAATATAAAAGTAATATGATACATAAATTACAACAATAAAAAGGAAATAAGATAAATTAATGAGGAGCGTCCGAGCGTATTATAAACTAAATATTGTATTGAATTTAAAAACTTGAACAATGAGGTCAGGGTTAGTTGTAAACAGAACCAGAGCTCAATATCCTTGATGGTCTTCAACTGATTGATGAAACTGTTAGATAACTGGAAAGAATACGGAACACTAAATCCGAATTGAATGATGAAATATATGTGAGTGTTGAGTTTGCGAAGACTCTAGGCTCCAATCCCGAGGAAGAGTTTGCTAGAAAGAGTAATAAAAGATCAAGCAGACGTTTGGATGACAACTCTGAGACTTTGGCAATTATATCACCAAATTTTGAACAAGTTAAAAAGGTCACCGAACTTTTTCCTCCATAAATTAGCGTAGACTGTATGTCACGGTAGCAGAACTTGAGATTTTTGTTAACTTTTTAAATGAGACAGAAGAATATAAGGCAGTCCACGACGCCGGAAACACTGCTCTCAAAAATAAAGAAATTTTCCCAAACGTTTATAAATGCTACAAATTTGTGTTTACTGCTCCAGTAAGTATTGTTGATATTGAAATATCATTCAGCAAAATGAAAATTGTCAAGAACTATTTGCGCTTAACAATGAAAGGTGAAAGGCTGGAAGAACTCATTGCGTCTCAACCGAGAATTTAACAGATACAATTCATCATGATGTAGTACTAAAATCTTGCGCAGCCAGTCTTGATATGAGAACAAATATACATTGTTTTACTGTTATGTCTGAAACGGTTAAGATTTATATTTCAAAAACAGGTTTTGTAATAATGTATGTGTTAAGAACCTAATCTTCAATAATGTTTACTAATAAACCACGCATGCAATAATAGAAATGATTATAATTTGCTGGCTATAATGATTTAAGGGGGTTTTGTGGGCAACACCCTTTTGCAGGGATCATTTTTCTCCACACTCCCCCCCCCTCCCCCCCCCCTTACTTCAAGTTTAGTTACGCCCCTGCCTATCACTGAAAATATAACGGTTGAATTTAATCCATTTCTTTTAAAAAGAAAACCGCAAGAAATTGTAATTTTTTGACGTTAGTAATTCAAAAACAACAAATTTCTGCGACGCAAATTCTGTGCGTATGTCCTCTTATAGATCATATAGTTTGCTCAAATTTTTATGGTTATTATATAATGTGTAATAATTTAGTGAAATCGAAAACAGCAAATTAACTTTATAAATAAATCACGCATGTTCACTTTGAATTTTTCAAATAGTAGTAAATAATTATAGTCAACAAAAGAAAAAATAAAGCAAGTTAAAAAAATACATTTTTCAAGTGAAAAGTAAGAAATAAAATTAAACTATCTAAGACATATACTGTTGTGCAACATTCAAGAGAACTTATTTCGGTCATCAAACACTTTGAAAGTACATTAAATATTCGAAACTTGGGAAAATGATTTTATCCTTTTACATTGGGCAGAAAGTTGTCAATGTGTATATTTATGAAAATGATTTGATTTTCATAGATGTGGTTTTCAAGGAATAGTGATGCCCTTTCCACGCGTACCAATTGACACCGTCAGCATACGATTTATGTGCACCATGATGATACATTCCATTTAGATTAGAAGAGTGGCAACTTCTATACCACCAAGCACCTTTGAATTGTTTTGCGCAACTTTTTGAATATGTATCGTTGTCAGCGTCTTTTGTCGAAAATTTAAATCCATTATGGTCTGAAAATGAGTCGCCAGCAGTACCTATAAAAAATAAACGCGTTGATGGCGAATTTTTTTTTACTATGGCATTTTTATTTCATAATACTGCGATTCTAGACAAGAAAATTTTTTGTCTTATTACTAGAAAAAAACACGTTAGCCCGAGTAGTTAGCAATTAAGACATTAAATAAGATATTTTAATGTTAATAAATATCTACAAATATAAGAAGAGTAAATGGAAGGAGGTTCTGAACCTGGTGGTGCCGGTGGTGCATTTAAAAACTCTGGATGACGTCACACATTAAGATGACTCAAATTAAAATTGCAGATTGCCAATGGTTTTGACTAATTTATTCATATTTTATCTTAATATCGCACTTATACAAACTTCGCTTGCTTGCTGCTTAAAACCTTAAATCCACGCCATGTGGTCGAGGGGCAAAAAACTCAACTGCAAATTTAATCTTTTTACTTATGCAACTATATTTTACCCATTTGATAGTTAAAAAAAATTTGATAGAAAACTAAACTAATTATATATAATTGTTTTCCAGCTCAAAACATGCAATGATCGTCAACATGTTCAAACACTTTCTGTCTTCCTTTATCAAAACTTATTTATCAGTATCTGGCATATATCTGTTAAACAAATGATTTCATATGTAAAATTTAAGGCTCAGAACCAACAAATATTGATGCACAAATTTTATGAGAAGTAAAATTCTTAGAAATTGTGATGCAGAAAATGCTTTTTCATTTTGTACTTCCTTTGTTCGGTTATGATCTCAAAATCAATAATTTAAAGAAACAATTTTCCCCAAAACAACCAAAACACTAACACAAAGCCAATCTAACTATAGCATTGAAATATTAAGTCGTGAAATCACGCACCTGAATATTTTCCCACTGTAAGCTTGTACTTCTGTTTTTCATTTGCCACAGAAAATTTTCCATACTCAGCGTGCCTCTTGTTTCTTTTTGTGTCTTCCATATCAATGCGAAGTTTATTTCTTTTGCTCTAGTTAATCTGTGGATTTTATCTAATCCTAACCAGAACTCGGATTCAAGATTACCGAATCCTTTTTTATAGTCATTCCATCCGCGATAAAAGTTTACACTTCCATCCATTCGACGTTGAAATACCGTCCAACCGCCACCAGAGGTCTTCATGTCACAAAAAACTTTAAAGCTTCCTTGATCATCTGGTTCAATCTTGTACACCCCACTCCTCCTTTCTCCTTTCATGTAATAAGCAGCACAATCTTTAAAAAAATGTAAATTTTTTACAAAAAAAGAAGTAAAAGAAGCTTTGTTGCATTTATAGTATATTGTAATGTCTATAATTGTATTTAAAATAATTAGTTATGTTTAAACTCGTCCGACTTTACCTTTTTCCACTTTCTTTGTACAAGTTTGGCCTGCATCGTTTTGCAGTTTTATGATTTGCGTTTGGAGATTTATCACTTGTGACAAGAGAGCAACAATCTTATTTTGTACATTCCCTCTTCCTTGATGATTTGATTGTTGTAAGCTTCGCTTAAAGCTTTTTGACAGGGAATTTGTAATTTGCTCATGTGGATGTAAAATGGCTGAAAGCAAAATTAAAAAGACATTTTGGGTGTCTCCGTGTTTAAGTTGTATTCATAAAGAAATGGAATCGTTTGAATATGTAATAGGATGTAAATATTCAACATTTGTGTGAACATTCAATGACGTACCTAGAAGTGATTATAGAGTATGACTAAAAATTAAAAAATACGATGTAGTTTACACATAACGTAGCTATGTTTTATTTTGCTTTGTGAGCATTCGCCAAGATCATTTCCCACAATTATCAATGTAGAATTTCAACCCTTTCCACATTCGCACCCAGAAGAAACTAACCAACATTGTAAGAAAATGAAGACCACGTTACTATGCACTCATGTTACAATTACACGCCAGTTGCTCGATCACTCGATTATAGCTCAAATTTTAAAGCTTGAAAATCCCAAATAATAAAAGACTAAATTTCATCCGTGAGTAACGGTATACATATGTCATACTATTACTTACCACTAACCACTAGTGAATATGAGAATACGGACAATAATATAGCAAATTGTGAGTTAATCATCTTATCGACCACACACCTGATAAAATGTGAAGATAAATGCACTACCACATGCAGTTTATATAATATACTTTTTACTAGAATGCTAAGTGTTGAACAGGAATTTTCTTGAAGCGGTGTCTTTGCTGCTGCTGAAGCTGTCAGATAATTACTTTCGTATTGTCCACCAATATTTGCATAACTAAACGAGCTTATCTCACCCACGTCAATTCTTGACTTCACTTTTTAAACATGATGAAAGAGCTATGAGGTGTCATGTTGTTTGTTCCATTTAGAAGAAAAATAAGGAAATGTATGCGCGTAGAAAAGTTTTGGTTAAAATCGCATTTTTTTAAACCTGAAATTTAAAGTACTGACCTATTTCAAAAACCAACGTTGTTTTGTTCTGTTTATTTTGTATTTTACGCTATGTTAAGTATGCCAAAATCTTACGCATTAGCATTATCAATGCCTATCCGAATTCAGTCATCATCTAATAATAATGAGTTAAGATGGTTTTTGAGAAAGAGAGTTTACAAACAATGCTTGATGAACTTGGCAAATGTTTTCCTACATGGAATTCACCATGCAGCAATCAAAATCATTTAGAAAATTGTGTAACATTTTAATTAAGCTATTGCCTGTAACTACATATAGAGTGAATAAATTCATGACGTGCAATTCAGCCATGTGGTAGTTTGATACAAAAGCATAATTTATCTTTATTGTTGTTTGCACCAACTGACGTGGGCATGCAACATTAAAATAATTGTGTTTAAAATCCTTTGACGGTGTATCTCAACGGAACTGTTGAAAGTCAAGAATTACATCTTTGCTACTAACTAGTTTTTCTTTCTTTGACATGACACGATGGTGAAAAATGCAATTCAAACGCTAATGCCTTTGTTCATTTTTCTTCCATATTGCACTAACAATATCATACTCAATATTGCTGAAAGTTTTTAAAGTAACTAAATACAAATGAATGGATATCAACATATATATAAGCCGTGCGTCTTGTTCCTATTCACTATTGCTTCCTAGTGATAAATGGGAGAGCACATATTGTTATACATATCTTGATATCATGTATACGTGTATAGTCATGATGCAAAAACAACGATTATTTGATGTGAAGGTCGTTCTGTAATGCTCAAATATGTAGATGTGAAAATGCAACTGCCGAAGGTCAAATCTAAAGCAGTACAACAATCTGGCATTTGTTCATATATAATAACGTCCCGTTAGCCTGCTTATGCAGGTTCTACTTCTTCTCAAGCTTTTTCTGTGCAAGATAAGCAGTTTTCATGTACGATTTATTACACTTGTAACCTTAGGGATTTTTCTACAATGCTAAAATTAGTAAATATTTTGTTGAATTGTCTACGTGGACGAATCACTTAGTGATAATTACAATCATAAATATGACGAATTCGCAACTCCTTTGCATTTTGATAAAAGTCTTTATTTAAAATGTCGCAGTTCCTTGCTGTTTATTTCCACTGTTATGTTGTTTTTATCTAAAACTGAATACAATGTTGCTGACAAAATCACCAAGCTTTTAAAAATTTAATGTTCGTACTACGAAATGTTATCGAGACATTACTCTAAGAGTAAGCTGTGATTTTTCTATGCATGAACTTTAACTTTAACTTTACAATACATTTAAAACTCTACAATTTAAATATTGTTTGACAATCTTCAATATGAACATAATAGCCCAACATAATACTTTTAAAAAAGCCATCACAATAATAAAGTAGAGAAGGATTTATTAATAACGTTTCGTCTTTAACTTAAGACATCTTCAGATTAATTGAGTTAATTTATATACACGAGGTTTTAAATACAAGCTACTATTGTTTGACAATCAATAGATACTGAGCTACTCGTTATTGTTTTATGTTATAACTGTTATCTAAGTTTTATTATATCTTCCTGATTAAATTTTCGAAGCTGCCAGGTAAGTTTTTGTTAAGATATGCTCTTATGTGATGTGTAAGTGTAATGTAAAGTGTGTCTAATGTCATGTCTATATAATGAAATAAGGATACAGTTGTAAATAGTGTTATAATGTCAGCCCACGAATAATGAGAACATAATCTCATGATATATTATATCAACCAATCAGAGTAAATTTTCTTTTATGCAAATTGCTGTAATGCCATTGTAGATGTTGTCATAATGGCATGTAATTGCACTTTCAAATAAATGTAATAAATAAGCTAATTAAAAGCAACATGAATTTAGCTTCAAACCCAGAAGTTTTTACTCAAAGTCTTAAACAAATCAATACAGAACTTTCCTAGAGAAAACATTTTAGTGTACGAGTTTGATTGTCGATGTTGACGTGTCACTTCACGTTTATAAATGCGTTTGCATGCATGCTTTGTCATTTTCATAAAAGTCTTTATTTAAAACATAAGTGAAATAACTGCTATTTCTGCTGTTGTTTTGTTTTTGTCTAAAAATGAATGCAATGTTGCTGACAAAAGCATGAGTCGTAAACTGTAAAAATTTGATGTTAAAACCTATTGCCACACTTTTATCATAAACTAATAAGAATTGGGTTGTTGTGAGTACTAATTATTGGTCATAATCTTTGTTGGTATCCATGATGTTGAATCAAAACATAAAGAAAATTTAACTACATCATTTAATCAATAACCTGATAAACAGTGCAGTAAGATTGCAAGCAATACATATTGTGAATATGAGATAATTATTACATAATGTTGTATAATCTTAAATACAGGAACATATTACCTTGAACTACTTACCAGGGGCGGATCTAGGATTTTTCATATGTTAGTCAAAAATTTATGACGTCATATGTGGCCTCAAATATGACGTCATAGATGACATCATACATTGTATCTTATGCAGCGATTTATAAAACTTTAGCGATCATAAAATTGCGAAAACTAAGATGAATTCCCTTTAATCAGATGATGACAGACTGTTTCGCCCAATATCAGGGCTCTTCAGCATGCCTAGGATGATGCCCCAAATTTCAAAGCATCATCCGACATGGACAGCCCTTTAAAGAGCCGAAGCCAGCAATCTGGTTATTGCATAGAATTAAATGCATGTCCTTTATACATAGGTACATCAACAATTTTATCTATAAACTAAAAAGAATTTAGATGTAGAAAGACAAAATTTAAAAATTCTCATGATTTCAATTAAATTTAAATCTAGTGTTGCCAACAGAAAATTTATCAATTACGCGTTGCACATCTGGAAGAATTTCCTGATGAATTTTCATTAGAGCAAGACCATTTAACCTTCTTCAACCATAGTACTCCGCTTATAATCTTTAAAATTCGCAGCGCTGAAATCGAACGTTCACATTCGCATGAAGTTATGGGAAGGGTTCCTAATATTTGAAGTATGACCTTTATGTTTTGAAAACCATCAAAATTTATAGCTTTTAAAGTTGTAGCTACATTACATGGATAAGGACCTTTACGATGTTCCCAGAAGGATTGCCATAATAACAACTCTGCATCTAAACCTAACTGATTGGGTAAATCAGCAACATAAAATTTTGAAACAATCTTAAATTTATGTCTCCAGTCAATCCCATTTTTATATGAGAAAACATTTTGTTGGAACAATACTTAGTCCTTGATAAACATTTACACTTTCCGTGTCAAATCGCGCATCCAAAGACGAGAGAAGATGGTCAATTAAAGGAATCGTATAGATTCGTTTGTAATACTCGAGATAGAACGATAAGGAGCGTTAGGCCTTGTAGTTTGCCTTCCAATTGTCCTACGTTTACATTCTTCTACCCCAACCTTTGCCGCTAACGTCAAAGCAATGTCGTACCATTGATCATGATATGAATCAATAGAATTCCTCACATGTGCAACACTGCTTTTCAAAGAAGAGATCAACTCAATCCCGTCCATAACATCAATACTCTTTCCTTGCAAAAGCTGAGTAACAGGAAGCGTTAGATCAAAAACATTTCTGGTAATAACCAAGAGGGCGATAAAATGAAACTCAGAAAGACCTTCAAGCAAAGAGGATGCATCAGCAGCGAGAGGGACTGCCACCTTTGCCATGTTATCCAGTGTGTCAAAAATTTGAACAAACAATTCTTCGAAAGTGTCTAAACCTTTAACTCGTTCTACCCATCTGGTTCTACAAACATCTGGCAATCTAGTCTTTTTTGAGTCCGTTTCTAAACTATTGCGTACAGTCTCCTCAAACGGTATATTGCGTGTTTGAGAAATCTTAGAAGCTTTACCAGGGAAGCGATGACCAAAAAGCACGCATGACAAACAAAATGCACCATCTTTTGATGGGGAGTAGCATAGCCAGTCATATTTTTTTAGCCAGTCATATCTAAAGCTCCTACCACCGGTCTTAGGAAAGGAAAAATTCTCATCAGGCCTGAAAACATTTTTAATCAATTGAAGAACACCAGAAGTATCTAAGCCTTTAACTTTATCCTGGTAAGTTGCAACATCAAAATTATGCGCAGAATGATACTTCTTTTCTGGACAAGATTGACTAGGGGAGGACTTAATTGGTTGTTTCAACGTGATATAAGAAGGAACTTGTTTGGCAGAAGAAAAAGTTTCATTGGGCTTTTCAAATAACTTGGATGGCTGTTTTCTGATGCAGTAAAAAGTTAGAAATAATTGGAATATTACCAGAAGGAAATTTTGCCACCTTCTTGGAAAATAAGGAAGGCACCTTACGTTTTTTTGTTGACGTTGTGGCTTGTGTAATGTCAGCAGACTTTCGCTTGTGTGCACTTGCATGAAAAAGAAGAGGGAAAAAATGGTTAGGCTGAAATGATTCTCCAGTTCTTATGTCACCTTCATGGCAGAATAGAATATGAATTTCTTTTCAACCCTAGTAGTATGCAAGCGGGGTTGAATAACACGATTAAATAAAAGTTTGAGCCTGTGTTGTCCACAATCCGGATAATATGTAACAATACATCTTTTCAAAACTGAAAACAGACCCAAAATACAAAGAAATGATGACCATTTACCATCATTGCAATTAAAAACAGCCTCCTTCTTCACTAAATTTTCCTTACTAGCACCGGTATCTAAGGACTCAACAG